TCATAGCAGTCAAGGCTACTTCATTTGAAACTATACATTAAGCTTAAAATCACTTTGCTAGGCGAGAAGGGATATTGCAACTTTCTCAAGGCGTTTCAAATGCTAATAATTGAAGAGATGACAATTTAATATATCACTTTTTTTCGGTTATCCACAACATCACGAGAAAGCCAATTTCCATATTTCGTGTAAAATGTGCCAGTTAGCATCACTTTCATGTGATTCTGGTCAAAAGAACAGCAGTGGGGAACGCTCAGTTTGTGGTCTCGTAAATGGAGCCTCATTGCACTGATATGTTCTCGGGAAGAACTTTCTTAAATTCTGGAATTCTTAGTGGATAAATCAGCAAGGTAGTCGCTGAACAAGCTAGTCGCTGAACAAGCTAGTCGCTGCACAAGCTAGTTGCTGAACTTAAAAAGCTTAACGATAAGGTATATCGTTCTCAATAAAATCATTAAACCTTTAAAAACGAACAAAATTAGTCCAAATTTGAAATGGAATCAAACTAAAAATGAAGCTCTCGTAATCAAGAGTAATATTTTGGCTACTTTTGATTCTCTTGCAGTTCTGTGATTTCGGATTACCTTTGGTGATTTTTTGTTTTATTCAGATACTAAAATACGGGACACACATCGTTAGCAATGGTGTGGTCAGGAACAAGAGGAAAAGAAATTAGTTAGTTAGAGGTTTACAATGAATATTTTTGTCTCATGATAGTGCCGCTTGTACTTAATCTTGAGGCGTACTTATCTAAGCTGGTGTGAAAGTGTCTGATATACGCTTTCGTTCTTGGTGAGTACACACCTCTATTTACCTCGGCATCTCACTAGTTTGAGATTCATCGAGAGATCTGACTTTTGCACTCAAACCGATCAAAGATGATAAGGCGAATGGATAGCGAACAATTCAAAGAATAACCAGGTTGTTTCAATATGTTCAGTCCGTTAGCACAAGTCTGATTTGAAGTACAAGCACGATTTCCCAAAAATTGTATCACTCAAAGTCATTACATAAATACATCAAACTAGAGTCTCCTGCTTAGTGATCGGTGAGAAAAACTCCGTAAATCTTATTAAAGACACAACTGACCCAGATCCAGCTAATGGAGATTCCTCAGAGTTTAAAAACTGAAAGGGAACTACACAACCGAGTGACGTAACTGAACTAGGTAGTTTTTGAATTTTGTTTCGACTGAGTTGTTTTCCTTTTTCGCACAGGCATTATGGGATTGATTCCATGCTCAAACAAGGCTGTGCATGTAAGGTGTTTCAAAAATTGAAGGTAAAAATGCAAGAAAATGAAATTTTGGTGGAGTAATGAATTTCGCATAAAACGAACGGACATTTTTCGCATTGTTCGAAATACTTCGCAGCTCGCAATCATCTAAATCATCGAAATAGGGATATTATTTCAGAGAATAAGTGGGGGAGGTTTCTCACTCGAGAGACTGGAGTTGTGTCGATTAGGTTCTTGGTCAGAGGAAAGATTAGATAGGAGTCGCAAATGCATACTGAATGGAAAATGAGTATGTTCTAAAATGTAACTGTAGGCCGAATATCAAGTACAATTAACGAATATCAAGTACAATTACCTCTTGCTTTTCAAAGAAAGTGCGCCCAAGAAGAAGATTTTCCTAACCCTCTATGACCAAATCCACAAGTGAATGTATTCAATAGCCTTAGAAGTATTTACAATAGAAAATATAATCATACCTGTAATAAGAAGGTTTTTCTAGCGATGACTCTAAATAAACCGCGCAGCTGGTAACGAAACGAAAGTAAAATTAAGCCTGAAAACAAATCGGAACAATTATTTCAAGGAGACAGAATTTCAATGAGACTGTCATAATCAACGTTTATGCAAACTGCTACGATTAGTTTCAATTGGATGGCTTAGATTCCTTACTCGTGTAGCAGACTAGGTTCAAATTTAGTAGTGTTCCTCTGTTCTGACTCTGCCCTGACGTTTCAGGCCGACTGCTCGAAACGTCAGATTTGAAACTCTCTACGGCGACCAATTTGCGTCATCAACTCGTTACTAATACTAAATTGTCCTGTTATACTCTCTCACCGACGCAGCACCACAGTTTCTTTAGAAACTTGACTCTTTATAAATTCAAATTATGAGAGATGGTAAGTTTTGAGCTCGGCAAAGAAATAAAGAAAGATGTTTTTTGTCTTTTCAAGAGCGTAGGACTAGTCTAGGACTCTATTTACAAACATTACGCTATCGACATTGCTGATCCTAGCAGCATGCAGGACGCGTGTCATTTGAACTTCGTAATACACCTCGCTCACCGTGGAGCCTCTATGGCTCAGTGGTAGAGCATCGGAGCGCAGAATCCTAAGGTCTAAAGTTCGATTCCTCATGGGGACTCAGAAATTTTTCTGTCCCACACTCGTAACAAGACGAAAAAAACATATTCCTTAATTTCTTCACCGAGCTCAAAACTTACCATCTCTCTTATTTTTTTCTACAAACATAACGCTATCGACATTGCTGATCCTAGCAGTATGCAGGACGCGTGTCAGATGAACTTGGTAATTGAATTCGCTTACCGTGAAGTCTTTATGGCTCAGTAGCAGAGCATCGCGCAGTTTGTGCATTAGTAGACCCAGGGGAAGGGTATGGAGGTAGCCCCTCAAGCTAGCCCCTCAGACGCTCTTTTCTTCATTTGCATGTCAAAAGAGCCTTATCGCGAGCTGTCAGTCTGTCAGTCTGCTGAGGCAAGCTTTGCTAGACTAACTGAAAAATTCACAGTGTGAGACAATTTTTACGTTGCATTGGTAAATGATTGGGTGTGGAATGAAGTGAGATCTCTTTTCAGAACTTGTTGTTTTACACTCGAGCAAAATCTGCTCTTATGTTTATTCGATAGAAATAAGATGGTTTTCTTTTATATTTAAATTTATTGTCTACTTCCCCGTAACATGTTTCAAATATATTATTCAATAAGTAGATTGTTGATTGATGCTGGAACGACGAGTTTTTTATTTGACTGTAGACATGGATACTGTTCCTCGCGTAAGCGCGGGATTGGATGAGATCTAGGTCTTCATGAAAGCGAACAACTTTATAGGTTCGCATAAATGGTGATTCGTCATAGCTGTAGGCTGTTCCATGAGGTGAACCAACGAACGAAGGTTGAACCAAAACTCTCACATGTTTCAAGAATGTGCCCGCTATGCCAATACTCCGGCAGCAAAAAGGTTTACATTGCATGAAATTTTTTGGGATACTTTTCATACTTTTAAACGATCATGTGTGAGTATTTACGTTGATTGACGTTCAGTAATAAGATGCTTGCTCTGTAGATTTGTCAGAGGCAATTCAGCTTGAGATGTAGTGCTTGGGGCTCTGCGAAACATTTCACAAATACCTGCCCTAAATTCTGGCAGTCTTATTGCATACACAATAGGATTTGACAGGGAATTAACGCCAACTAAAGCCGCTAGCGTCATTGTTACGTGGAAGTAGGAACGTTGAGGGTACCAGCTTGAGAGAACATCTTTATGCCAATATGTAATTATTCTGAAAGTTGTAAATGGAAGCCATGTCATCAAAGATGCAAGCGTGACAATAAGTAAGGTGGCGGTCAATTTTCTTTCTCTATTGGTTGCACCATGATGTCGAGGATTAGAACTGAATCGAACTTTTATGAAAATAGCAACATAAGAGACACAAATAAAAATTAGTGGAACTGTTGAGAATAATACCGCAAGATGAGAATTTCCTTGTGTTTTGAATAACACGATTTGAACAGTCTCCCTCAATGAAGTTAGAAACCAAATAGCGGCAATTGCCATTGTGTAAACCTTTTTCTTAATTACACGATGCTCAAATGGAAATAATGTGGCATGCATTCTTTCTAAAGAAATAGCAGCGAGATTTACGAGTGAGGCTATGGGAAACAAATTAGCCAATGGGGAAATCGTCTGAGTTTGCCTCCATAAATCGCAATAGTGCCCCAAAAGATCATGAACAGCCACAGGACCCGAAACTGCTCCAGCCAAAAGATCGGCTGTGGCCAGGTGGATTATCAAGTATGTACTCTGCCGCTGTAGCTGGCGCTGCTTCACAAATACAATAATGGTGAGGAGATTGAGGATGACAATGGCCAGACATTCAGTGATGGAAGCAACAAGCCACGGGATGCAATCCGAGGAATGACTCAGGGTGAAATTCTTCTCCGCATAGCTTTCGTTGCTAGTAGTGTTTCTGATTTCTTCGGCCATTGAGTAGCTACAAAAATTTTCCAGAAAGAAAAATATTACTTGAACGTGAAAGCGATCTTCGTAATGATAATCACTACGTAAGCAGTAGTGGAAATAAGGCCTGAAAAAAATTTATGGGAATGTATGTATGCCAACTGGGAGCTTGTTTAAAATGGACACTTCTTGTGCAACATATACTTCAGATGAAAGCTACAGATGAAAAACCAACGACGAAAACCGAAGCGAGCGCGTAAGAGCTTGGAAAAAAAATATCATACTCGCTCTTCCGCACAAGATCACACTGTTTTTCACCATTACTAAAAAGATCAGTCCTTGTAAAACGGAAACGATACTAGCTGGAAAGATGACTTTTCTTTCCGATTTATAACGCCTTATCTTTTTGTTAGTCTTCCTTGTACCAAATGGGAGTCGGAAGCCAAAGCGAGTAATAATGTTGTTTGTATTAGGTAAGATAGTTTAGAGGAGGTGTAAGTTAGAAGCCATTTGTGAGCAATAACATTTATCAGTTGACTTCCGTAATTAAATAATTATCTCAGCATACCTAGCCGCAAGCATATTTCCTAAAGCGATCCTCGGTTTTTCGAAATGTTTTGTTGCTATCAAACATTATCGAGCAAGGTGTTTGCATCAATGGAAAACCAACTTTTTATAACCGGATATGAACAGCTGGTCAAGAACAAAATTGTAGACCGTGTTCTGAATAATTATGGTTTGATGACAAAAACGGCACCTTCTTTGTCATGCATTTCTTGCAAAGTGACAGATGACAAGGAAAGTTGGTCGCAATGAGCCTGAAACTGCATCGAGTAAAGGGCGGCGAAAGGACAAAGTGGAGTCAAACTCCGTTCACAATTTCTTTAACGACCACCTTTTGGCAAATACGTTCTCATTGTTTGATTTTGAAAACACAGTAAAAACTTTTTCGAGTGCGTCACTCAATCCATTCTTTAAGATCAGTCTGCCAAACTTCTTATACTTGAATTCATATTCACACTTTACTTTTTATTTATGCGTCGATCAATTCGAAGCAAACGTTGCGCACAAAATTGCAACTTAACCAAAGTTTATGCTGTCCTTTATTTTGCAAGAAACTGTTGTGATCCCTCCTTTCTCACAACGAATCCCTTACAATGCCCTGGGCGTAAAAAGATGTATTCTAACAACATTTTAACAAAGACCAATAACGAGAAAAACAGTTGTTGGATTTGACTCCAAACGGTAATTACTTATTGCCTTCAGTTCGTGCAAAATTAAAGAAGTGTTGAAATATGACATTCTATTTCTTAAACTCTATCTTGCTGTTAGTCCAGCCTAAATTTATCGTGAGTAGGGAAATAAAGATCTTCCTCATCATTTTCCAAAATAATAAAAAATAAATGAAAATTAAAAGTTATATCTTTAATGGGGTAAAAAGTCCTCTTATCATAGGTTACTTGCCCCAATACACGAAACTCTTTTCTTGACTTGCTGACTTTCGCGCACGTTGGTCAATTCTGTGGAGGCAAACTAATATTCTGACCTAAGAGTTCGCGTCTTTTTTTTTGTTTTTTTTTATCCATTTTTAACTTCCTCGCAGTGACGTTTGCAATACAAACAACGACTGGAAATATTTTATAGCAGCTGGCAATTGTGTTTGAATACCGCCTAACACTTCAACGGAGAGATATTAAAAAACATAAAAACATAAACTAACCCCTATTGATTCTGATTCCGATTCTCTTTCACGAACTAGAAGTCTGGTTGATATAATTTGTTTTCTTGCAACGTATTAACTGTTTGTGCAGCGGAACTAAACCGCTTGATGTGACAGAACTAAGAAATGTCAATCATTCCTTTTGACATTTTCGACCGATTTTTTTTTTCTGTGTTTTCGTTTTCGATGCAAATTTTGACCAATCTTCCGAATTTTGGTCGGCGACCATCCCGGTCTCTGTTCAAAATCTTTTCATAGTGATTATAAAAAAGCGATGAAAGCTGACCTCCCAAAGCTGATTCTATTATCGACATTCAGACATGATATTGATTTCGTGCGAACACGAAAAGGATATGGATGATATAGTTCGGCGATTAATTCAAACAAAAGGAGATTTAAACTTTTTAACAAAATACCTTTCCTTCTGATCCTTGGCGAGGAAATTCAATCGGTCATGGACACCTCATACTGCTGGTGGTGGAATAACGTCCTACTTAAACCTAACCATCCCGGTGATCTTAATTAACAACGATGACAAGCGTAACCTTATATGGACCTAGATGTGTAAAGGCAAATTGAAGAAGATTCGCAGAAACTTCCCTCTTCCCCTTTTTTAGAATCAATTTGCGCTGCGCTCAGTCTTGATGTAAACAAAAACAGGAGCATGTAAACTTAAGTGGCGGAGAAAGACACCAGACGTAAAGAATAAATGTTTTTAGCCCAATGACATGTTATGAACACATGAAAACAGATACGGGGTTATGGTTCTGGTTCTGTTTTACAGTTCATGTTAAGTCAAACTGTAGCTATAGAGTGCAGTTCAAAGTGTATGGATTCCTCAATATATTTCTACTTTTTCATAACAATTCGTTGGATGATCGGGACCTCCGTTTAGATTGTCCAAAATTTGACACTTATCGAACTGTTTTTAAGTGAAGTAACCTCGAAGGAGTCTCTAAAGAAATCCAACTTCCTATGAGTTCAGGAAGTTGTAAGATCTAAGCCAAAAATAAAGATGACCAAATGAACTTCCTTTTGTTCAATAGTTTGCAGTGAGACCACACAGCTTCGCCTATGGATTAATCATACACGTTTGAGTTGATCTACCACGGTTTCCCCTCTGTGCTTGTCTGCAGGTTACCCACTCAAAGCGTTGACTGCAGCACGCCATAACTTGCCATATGATTTGGAACAGAAGATAAGATTAGCTATTTCCTAATCAAGGAAACCGAGATGAGACAAGATATGTATCCCTCATCTTGCAACGGTTACCGAGTTCTTTTCCTCAAACAGTTTTAGGCTCTGAGTAACAGTTTAGACGAGAGACAGAACGACAACAGTTATTGCATTCGAAAGCCTGGTACAGGTCAACTTTCCTGAATGTGCAAATACAGAGTTAGTATAAGGTTTCAAAGAGGTTTTTCGTTAGGGTGATAGGTAGCTGACAAGAGTGTCATCAGTTATCAGAAGAAGAATAAACTTTTTAGGAAGCCGCGTTAACTTAGGACACAGCACTGGTACTGGAAGAGATGTAAGCAAAATCATTCTTGCTAGGGGTAATCTGCTCTAAGGAATCTGAAGGTGCTATGACAAAGCATCTTGCGTTCGTGTTTGCGCATCGATGGATCCAGGGGAAGCGTTTGGGGCACCCAGATCTCTTCCTCTCAGACCTGTGAGTTTGTTTAAATACTTGTCTGACACCCGCAAGTTTCTTGCAAAGAGAGGATCGAATGTTGTTACTCAACATGAAATCTCTAAATTTCACTCCTCTCGAGAGATCTCTCACCTTATGTGATCTTCGGAGAAAGTAGAAATACCTATGTTTTCTAAAACAAATTTTGGATTCTCAAGAAAATAATTCCTGGATTTGCCCCTATTTTTAAAACCAAAATGGTATTATGTCATAAATATTTGCAAACTTCCGCAACTGATTAGGCAGTTGAACCTTGGCAGTATGCGACGACCTCCTATGGCCTCCTACGTGCAAGACAACTCTCGTTGTCTTGCACGTGGCCAAGACTTGTTTACTCTGATATTTGTTTTATTACAAAAAAACGATGTCTTTTTGTCTTAATTACACTCCATGTTTCCTCTTTCCTTGGGCTTTTAAACGCTTCCTACGAAAACTACATTTGTTCAGTGATGGCTTAAGCAATTACTGAAAAGTTAACGGTCAATTTGACTGCGTAGATATAAAATCACGTCGCACTAGTTCCTGGCTCGCACATAAGGTAATTCCTGTTTGGCTCTTTACTAATGAGAGGAACCAGCAAACAAGGAGCGAACCAAAATTTTGACGGCTTACACTCGTGCCCTGGTTGCAAAAAGTTCACTAAACATGATATTTGGATGACTCTACAAGATAATTGTCATTCTTTAAAGCAATCAAGTTTGGGTATTCACGTGTCTGTCTGATCTACGAGCAGTAGGACTTGGTGTGTGCTGTAGATTCACAAGTGGCAAATCAGCGACACGTGTACGATGTTGGGGTCTACGGAACATTCTGCTAACACCCTTCCTAAATTCTGGCATCCATATAGCGTACACAATTGGATTTACTATGGAATTAGCGCCAGCTAATGTTACCGGCCACATAACAACATGAAAGTAGGCCCCTTTTAAGCCGGATGCACCTTCATGCCGATATAGAACTATGAAGATAATGTTATATGGAAGCCAAGTTAACAAAGATGCAAGCGTGACAAAAAGTAAGGTGGCGGTCAGTTTTCTTTCTCTGTTGGTTTCACCATGATGTTGAGGATTAGGACTGAATCGAACTTTGATGAAAATTGAAATAGAGAAAATGCTGATCAGAATTAGAGAAACTGACAAAATTGATACTAAGCTAACCCTTTTGAATGATATAGCGAGATGAGAATTTCCTTGTGTTTCGTATAACACAACCAAAGCAGTCTCCCTCGATGAAGTTAGAAACCAAATAGCGGCAATTGCCATTGCGTAAACCTTTTTCTTAATTACACGATGCTCAAATGGAAATAATGTGGCATGCATTCTTTCTAAAGAAATAGCAGCGAGATTTACAAGTGAGGCCATGGGAAACAAATCGGCCAATCTAAAAATCGTCTGAGTTCCCCTCCATAAATCGCAATAGTGCTCCAAAAGATGATTAACAATTACAGGACCCGAAACTGCTCCTACCAAGAGATCGACTATGGCCAGATGGATGATCAAGTATGTACTCTGGCGCTGTAGCTGACGCTGCTTCACAAATACAATAATGGTGAGGAGATTGAGGATGACAATGGCCAGACATTCAGTGATGGAAGCAACAAGCCACAGAATGCAGTCCGGGGAGTAACTGAAGGTGAAATTCTTCTCCTCGGAGGTTTCATTGTCGGAAATGTTTCTGATTTCTTCGGCCATTGAGTAGCTGCAAAAATTTTTCAGAAAGAAAAATATTACTTGAATGTGAAAGTGATCTTCGCAGTGATGATCACTACGTTAGCAGAAGTGAAAATAAGGTCTGAAAAAAATGTATGGGATTTAAAACTATGACCTTTACGATACCGGTGCAGCGCTCTACCGAATTAGCTAACGAGCCAACTGGGAGCTGGTCATTAAGTTAGTTTCAAATAAACCCGTGAAGTGATGAATAAATGACTGTGAATATACGAAAATCATGTATGTGAACTGCGGATAAAGACGTGAATATGGAAGCGATCTTCGTAGTAAAAAAATTCAAATCTTCACGGGTTTATTAGTATGGAACCAACATAATGATTCGCTTCCAGTTGGCTTGTTAGCTCAGTTGGTAGAGCAGCGCATTGGCATCGCAGAGGTCATGGGTTTAAATCCCGTAGTGTTCATTACTGCGAAGATCGCTTGCATATTCATTGCTTAAACCACAGTTCACTTACATGATTTACATATATTTACAAACGTTAAAAAATATTACTTGTGTGTCAGAGGAGGAGAGTCCTTACTTTCTCATGACTGAATACAACTTTACAACAACGACGGCTTTCAAGTTAGATAAACCAAGAATAAATTTTATCACCCCTCACTAGTTGGCGATTTAAAGATTTCATTTACAGGAAACGCAAAATTTTACCATGTTCTTTACTTCTTGTATCCACCGTCTTCCCGCTAACTGACAGCTACCTGTAACACTTGTGCTGGTAACCAAATTGAAGGCTTTCGAATTCAGCGGTAAAAAACGAATCCAAAGCCTTCTCTATTTCCACTCTCTGCGGCACTGTCTTCCGGAGCCGTATCTCTCTTCCGCCTACATACACAAATAACAAAAACTTCTATTTAAATCCCCCAACCAAAATTAAATTTCAGGCAGGAGAGTCTCCTCATACCTTAACTTTGAATGGAGCAGAATCGCGACGCAGTTAGATGAACATCGAAGTTTTACTTTGTGTTTTTTCGTGCTCTCGAGCATAGAAAACCACAGAAAGACTTTGTAATAATCGTCGCTATTTGTAATAAAATTGTCACACTTTGTAATACCTGTCACACTTTAGAATACGTATCGCACATTGTAATAACACTTGTCGCACATTGTAATAACGCTTGTCGCACTTTGTGATCACACTTTTGGCACATTTTAAAAAAAACGCTATCGCACTTTGCAAACCTACCTGTCGCAATAGGTAATAAACCTGATATAGATGGTCAAGGGTAAGTGGAGTCAACAACAACCATTATACCTCTCGTACACGACAATCTGGATGATAATAATGATGATATTGATAACAACAGCAATAATAATAATAATAATAATAATAATAATTATGAGAATAGCTATAAATATGATAATGATGATGATTGACATACTATAACAGTAATAGTGATGGTGATATTGACGAAAACAAAAATGTGTTTAATACGTTGACTGGCTGGCTGGCTAGAACTTTGCCGAGACCACAATATTTCCATACTCCTTTATTTTAGTTCAGCTTGTCTGAATGAAAATATCATGGCGAGGAAGTTGGACTTTTTGTTGAGCCAAGATTAAAGGTTGCATCTTTAAGGCCATTGGGGTAGCGTCAAAGTAAGTGTCAAACTGAAAATTATCAGCTTTCTGAGGAAGATCATGTGCTTTGCTCTCAGAAAGCATTGATATAAACATGCAAAGAAAAAAAGAAAATTTTTAACAGAATTTTACAAAAGAATGGGCTCGGCAATTTGTGCCAGTTTTGATGATCGACGCTGTAAAAATGGGCCTCAGAGTGCTGAAGCGATTTTCACTCGGCATTTATTGTGCAATATTTGAAAAAAAAAACAATTTGGTTGCGATAACCCTTAGAATAAAATAGATTTACGGGCAAAATTTGAAAGAAATCGATTTTTCGAACTGAAACGCACCGGACCGTTTTTATAGAGTCTGCATCTTATATAGTTACATGTATATCTTTGGTCACATCCTACACGCTTTGTGACATCGTATGCTAATTCGAGACGCTTTTTTTTTTTTTTTTTTTTTTTTTTCACTTGAGATATGCTTGAATAAAACGTTTCCCAGGTAATCGTTATCACATTTCTTCATTAAGTTGGTGGTCCATCACACAAAACAGGAGTTCCTCGTTGCTCGTGCTATCAATAATATCTTAACAAACTGGGTATTCAGTTAACTTTCACCTCAAAGACACCTTACTAATGTGGAGAACCCAATAATACAGATATCACCTTATTTCTCTTACAAATTCGCTCAATCCGAACTTTCGCTGTTCTGGACATTAAATGGCGGGCTCAAAGTATTATAACTATTTAAATAAATGTGAGACTCGCGAGGAAGCTTTTCAAAGACATGTGTAAGGGCATGACTCATGCCATCATCAGGTTAATGAGTTGAACCGTTGAGTTTGGATTTTCCACGTCACGTTTAAATCGTACACAATTTGAAATTAGTACTGCTACAATAATTGAAGTATACAGCAGCGCTTGCAAATGTTACTCTTGAAAGTAAATCTATGCGAATAAAAATTCTTATTATTATTATCGTTAATATTATCGACGAGGATGGTGGTTACTGATTCTACTCGCTTTCCGACCATATGTACCAATGTTATCACACATAGTGTGATAAGTTTTATTACAAATTGCGACAAGTGTTACTACAAATTGCGACATGTGTTATTGAAAATTGCGACAAGTATTATTACAAATTACGACAAGTGTTCATGCAGAGTGCGACTATTGTTCTAAAGTGCGAGAATTTTATAACAAAGTGCGACAGGTATTACAAAGAGCGACTATTATTACAAAGTGCGACAAAACAAACACATCCTACACTTCCTTTAAGTAAGATCATAGCTTTTGTCTCGAAATATCTCTCGGTCATTTTAGTATAGATATGTTTCATAGTGTTTTAGAGCATGAGCACATGTTTATCTGTAAACCCGATAGATTAAAAGAAATTTATAGAAACAATACTCGAAATATCAGATCAGGATATGTTTTATCTCTATCTTGAAGAAAAGATTAATCGTGGCTACTTACAAGCTATACCCTCTTTCAAAATAGACAGAACAGAAATATTGAATTACTTTCCTGAATGTTGGAACCAATCTTGAATTAAAAGGAGGATGGTTATTGCTAAACATGTCAACAATATATAACATCAAATGTTCTGCAGAGGTGTTTTAATAGCATCATAAAATAATACTGAAGGTTTATTAAAGTACATGTCGTCGCATAGAGTGAAATAATAACATGTTTACATTGACAAAATTGAAAACCTATTCTACAAATTACATATGATGACTAAGGTTTTAAGACTTTAAGAGGGCTGGGGATACAATTCCTTGAAAAATTGTTTTTGTAAAATGTGTTTACATGTGTTGATCACTGGGGAAATGATAGTAATTTTATTGCTAGTATTTACAATTTTCTATGAAAGCCATTGTTGGAAAACCGCTGTTTCTAAAGCGCTCTGTTCTGTAACGGGGTAACGATAAACGGTTGGCGAAATACATTTCACGGCTATGAACAGTAGCGCACTGCGGTGGGACGTTTACGAATAAGTGGGGGGTAGTAAATTTTTTTTCGAAAGTTTTGTGGCTTTCCGAACTGCCTAGATGTAGAGAAAGGCCGCAGACTGGCATATGCTACTCAGAATGATTAGGGAGATTAAAGTGTTTACTGACTGGTTTGGATGCGCCCTTGTTATTCCTTTCTGCACCGCGAAGGTGTTCTCGAAATCTGTCACTAAGCCGTCTTCCTGTTTCATCAATGTAAATATTTTTGCATTAAGTGCAAGTTATGTAACAGATGACACCGGCGAAGGTGCACCTGAACTGATAAATGATCTCTTGGGTCCCGATACTTTCTTGATGTAATTGCAATTTGTTAGACGAAAATAGAATGCTTTCTCAAGAGTTAAATTTAGGTGGTGTGCCGGATGGGTAGTGAATGCAACCGTCTTAAATGTTTTGATTCTTAGAAAATTGAAGTTTTGTATCGATGAACAGAAGGTGGACCCCAATCGGTTAATACTATGTGCAAAGATCTTTATTAGCAATCCATGAAATACCCCAGCTGACAGTTTTATTCCAAGGTATAACCACACGTAAAATATTATGGACCATTTTGGTTCACACTGTCAAATTTTTCTCACGGTTGAGCGACATTTGTCCCTAGCGTTTTTTTTCTTTTTCTTGCTGGTGTTGTGTTTCGCTCTTCTGTTCAAATGAAAGGTACTTCGTTGAATGCTGATACATTTCATCTGTAGCTACGTATCTAGTGAATTCCTCATCAGCTGTGATTTTTGGAGAAACTCCTATTACAAGCTTTACTGAAAATTAAATCAGGCATCATCATCTAGTCTACTCGTGTGCAGAGGATTTCGACGCGGTAAACTGCCTGGAGCGATTTGCCTTGGAGTCCTACGGAATATTCGACATATTCCATCTCGAAAATCAGGCATCCTGAGGGCATACACAATTGGATTTAACAAGGAATTGGCACCAACTAGCGCCGCCAGTGTCATCCTGATATGAAAGAAAGACCTCAAGTTAAGAGCGTTTGTATTTAGGCTAAATACAATAAATGGCAGCCATGTCAGTAACGATGCAAGCGTAACCCAAAGTAACGTAGCTGTCAGTTTTCTTTCTCTGTTGATTGCACCGTGGCGTTGAGGATTAGAGCTGCGTCGAACTTTTATAAAAATTGAAATATAACAGATGCAGATGACTAAAAGAGAAACTGACCAATATGTGTATGGCGAGATTGCAATGGTGACAGGAGACACGACACTTTCTGTATTATATACGATAACTTGAACAGTCTCCCTCGATGAAGTCATTAACCAGATAGTACCAATTACTACTCCATAAACCCATTTCTTGACAAAGCGATGCTTAAATGGAGAGAATGTTGCATGCAGTCTTTCCAATGAAATGACTGCGAGATTAACAATAGAAGTGACTGGAAAAAGGTTTGCTAATGGAAAGATTTCAGTATTGTACTTCCATAAATCACAGTAAGACCCCAATAGATCACTAATAATCACAGGACCGGAAACTGCACCGAATAATAGATCGACTATTGCCAGATGGATGATCAAGTATGTGCTCCGACGCTGTAGCTGACGCTGCTTTACGAACACGATAACGGTGATCAAATTGCAGATGACTATGGCCAAGCACTCAGTTATGGATATCACGAGCCATGGGATACAGTCTGAGGCAAGATCCAGGGTTAACGTCGTGTTCTGTCCGTAACTGCTGTTTGAAGTACTGATATTGTCGTCTTGATCCATTTTGGAACTGTGAACATTTTGCAAAGGAGAATAGCTGTATTTAGGAAATGTGTTTACGAAAGGTATCGGGTCTTAAGGGTAGTAGGAAATTTGAAGGGTCGAAAGTCCCTTCTTCTTTGTAATATGGTTCCTAGCAATTATGGTATTATTTTCATTTACATTTACCAAACATTTACCATTATGCAAACGAATTCCATCTCCAAGTAACTATATATAAGGTGACTTTTCGACATTCAGCTAAACTAGAAATTTAACATCTGAATCAGGGTATCGAGAAGACTTCTTTCACTTACCAAACTTTTGAAAAATACTCAAAGGATTTAATCTATTTGCCTTTATTTTTTCATTCGTTTGAATTACGAGATTGTTTATTTTGAAGTTATGTGTTTTCACATGTGTCGCCGGGTGTTCAATTTCTAAACTAAAATGCTCTGATGGAGAAGAACAATATCTTAATAGAATCTTGCAAAATTTTCCTTCGCAGTACAGCCATACGGGTTCCTCCCTTTCGTTCTGAACATCGATTTAAATTCTTCATCGGAGACCTTAATTATGCCACGGAAGTTTTGGCAATTTGTGGGTAACCTATTCTTTTCGATGCAAATTTGTTACCCGCGGCCATTTTTAACTCGTGAATTGCGCGCATGCGCAAGAGCGAGTTATAGATACGACGTGGGGAATGGCATTCGCTCGCTCGCTCGCTCGATTGGTCGATTCCTGTAAACTTTTTTTAGATTTTAGGCTTTTGAGTACATTTTATAGTTTTTGGCGAGCAATAAACAGACGAAATGGCGACCTTTGTTGCTAAGAATAGTGGTGGGGTGAAAAAGAAGCCAATTATAATCTTAAAAGAGTTTTTCTTTTCATTTTAGTTTCAACAAGCGGAGCCAGCGACTGGCAGGCATGCAAGGATTCACACTAAAATAACAGAACAACCTTCGTTTTTCATAAAATTGTAATTTACAATCCTTGAACTTGAAAACAATCCGAAGATTCATTGAAGATATCACTTACTGCGAAGCGCTCGGAGTTTACAGATGTTCAAAAGCTTTTTCTGTTATAGCGTGAGATTGAGGACAAAATTGATCATTACGTTTCGTCGCGTGTGTTTTTCCTGTATGAAGCAACAGAAGATACCGGCGGCTGACGAAATAACAAGTTAACACGAAAATCATATAACACCTAAACAAACAATTTTAGCTACCGATTTTCAGTGAATTCTTAAAGAACAATTTTCTTTTAAGTTTCAAGACAATTTGAAGATTCAACATACATACAACGTACTAAAATGCGAAAGTTACACACCACAAAACTGATAAATAGGCCTGAAATGAAATTCTATCTTGTTATTGATTGTACGTTGCCTAGCACGTGACTTAAATCTACCCAAGCGGAGATCCAAAATGACGGTGGCAGGCTTGGCTTAGTTATATCACTCGAAACTCGTTCCCG